CAAAACAATTAAAAAAAAGGATGAGATCAATCAATCATATCATATCATAAATCAAGAAGAAGCCATATCACTAATGATTAGGGACCTCAACCAACATTATTGGCATTCTCATTAAATTGAGGAATCTATTCTCTCCGACCACACCCGCAGGTTATTTTTGCAAAAGGGAAATGGTAGGCGTGATCATAAACAACCCTTTTTTAGGATGGTTTGAACTCTTTGAAGAGACAACTTAAACAGTCTATATATATCCAATAATTAACCTCTCTTAAAATTAAAAAAAAAAAAACAATTTATGTTAATGCTCACAATTTTTGTTTTCTATTTCATTTTAGAGTTCAATACTTTGAAATATGTTTTGTATTTGATCTCACTAGAAGATAGTCATACGTGATCTACAGAGAGATAAAACATGGAATTGAAACAATTGAAATTATAAAGACTGGAAAAAAAAAAAGTTAAAGTTTGTTCGTGGGTAATTCTCTCTAAAGTGTGAAATTTTATGGCCAATGGATTAGTTAATTTATTTATTTTTCCTTTACCATCCAAATCCAATCAAACCCGCTTCATAATTGATCAATTAAATCTATTTTTACTTAGTTAGTCTATTTATTGCTTGTTTGATTGACATAAAAAAAAATCAGGAACTTAAATTATAAATTCCATGGAAGTAGAAAACTTTGGGTCGAGTTGTTTGTTAGTTTTACCTTCCATGACCAACAACGAACTGCATGAATAAATCATCTTCCTACATTTGATCAAACAACTACTAATTAGTTAGCTTTCCACTCGCATGTAAATTAAAAGTAAAATGAGCATCTTAGCTTGCTATGAAGTAGCGAATGCTGGTATGATTGCTGTCATTTGATAATGGATATCCCCATAATAAAGTTTATAAAAATATGCTACATAATGTCTTATTTTAAGCACCAAAAAAATTAACAATAAAGAAGTATCCTAACTTCAATACCTAAATTTACCAATGATTAAATATGGGCCCAATTGAGTTTGATTGGATTTGGGCGGTTAAGAAACTCCAAAGAAGCTGATGTTTCAATTATGTAGTAAGTTGCATTCATCGGCTGAACTTCCCATTAACAAAAATTATACAACACTTTGAAAATTATTCTTTTTTCTTTTTTCCCCTCTTTCCTTGTTGATTAATTTGAATACTTTAGATTATCTGAATTTGGATTCAATGCATGAAATTGTGTATTAAAAGGGTTCTCATTTGCAAGCTATAGATAAGCTAGGAGGTATATATAGTTACTCCCCTTGCCTAGCTAGGTGCATGTTTATGCTTGTTACGGGTTGCTTTCCATCTTATGTTATCGAGTCCTAGTATATCAAATTTGATCTCGAATCTTGTACTACAACCTCTCAAATATTCACCGACCAAATTAATTAGAATATTATTTGTGACGATTGATTCTGGCATTTCTTGTTGTATAATGAAATTTTCATTCACTCGAGAGTGATAATCAACTTATGATTATTGAAGAGTGAATGAGAATGTCATTATAACTTTTTGTAATTGCCAAAACCATGATCCTCGATCTAACCATTGTCAAGTTTATAAAATCTTTGAGAGAAGAGTGACTAGAATTTGTCAACAATCTCATGATCATTGTGGTGTAATTCTGCAAAATGATTGTGATTTTCTTACAGATTTGTCATTGATGGGAGTTGAACATCTGAATTGGCCTTCATATTGTTTGAATGTAAGTCATTTGCACTTCAATTTAATTTACATCCTATTTAATGCTTTCCTTTAAAAAAAACAGATGTGCCTCACTCTTATAAGGTGTAAAGCATAACCATCTTTCTTCTTCTTGATTCTCAATATACTTGATGTCTTTTAAAAAGACTTTTTAAATATTACATACTGCCTGAAATTAAAATCCCATTTTAAAAACTCAAATAAATACTCCAAGTACTTCTTCGATTCTTTTACAAGATATGTATTGGTTTCGATGTTGTACTGTGATCACTTCTACTATGGAGTATGTATTTTCTAAAAACATGTTCGTAAAAGCTATAGCTATAAGCTATAAGCTAAGGAGTATATAATTATATTCATTTTTTAAAAAGTGCTTTCATAATGTATACTTTAATAATATAAATAATTGTCAATATGTTTTGAGAGTAATCATTAGTTAGAGTTTAACGAAATCATCTGTATTTAAATAAAGGAAATCAACTTAAGTAGTTGTTGTCAAGGAGTAACCCAATCACAAATCACAAATTTCTAATTGTTTGCACCAAAAAAAACAAATTTCTAATTGTTTTTTTTTTTGGATCCAAGGGAGGAGTAAATCCAGAAAAAAAAAAAGAAGCAAACCAACAAATTTCTAATTGTGGTTTGGTTAAAATGTTTAAATAATACTCGTATAATATCTTTACACTTAGTCCAGTTTTTTTTTTTTTTTTTTTTTTTTTTTTTTTTTTTTTTTTTTTAAGTTCATATGAGCCACTAGGGCAGGGATGAGAATCGATCCCAGGATCACCTGGAATCGGGAGGAAAGCTCTTACCTCCCTCTTTACACTTAGTTCGTCTTTCAAGGTACATTACACATCTAAAACTTGAGTATAAGTAAACTTATTTATCTTCGTTATCATAAAGTACATTCACCCCAAATTTAGATAGTAGTATAGTACTCCCTCCGTTACCAAATACAAAGCTTATTTCTTTCATTTTCTTTTTTTGTACTTTTGACATCAATTTTCAACACTTTCTCTCTCCATCTTTTCAATAATTTCTAGCTACTTTTTCTTTCTCTCTATCCCTCTCTAACCCCATATACACATATGTACTAATCCTTAGACTTAAGAAATCTACATTTCTGTGAAAAAACCCAATAGATTTTGTATTATGTGACGGAGGGAGTAACATTTTAAAAAACTAAAAGATAAAATGAGAGGACATTTTTCAACCTTTTATTAAAAGTAGAAAAAATGAAAAATACATTTTACAATCAAAAAATGATATTTTGATTTTTTTAAAAAAATAAATGTTGTACGGAAGGAGCATGAACAGAAGAATAGGTTGTCGTAGAATGACTGGAGTAGGCCCAGACATAGCAGGGGTAGCCACACGTTCTGGCCTATAAGCCTACTTACTTATTGGGCCCCTCTATCTTATAGCCCTATTGGATACAGCCCAGCCCTCTTATAGATCCCCATTTCTGGTAATTTTACTCTTTTTTTTTCACTACCTCACTTATTATCTTGCATTTTTTAAAACCACCTTTTATTCTTTGTTTTTCTGGTTTTGTTTTTTAATTACTGCATCTGAAAGGGACCTTTTTATTTTATTTTTACTGTTTTTATCACCTAGCTTAAATAATCTTTTACTTTTTACTGGTATTAACAAGTTCAAGATTATATTTTGTAGCGTAGGGTGTCACATGAGCAAATAATATAGGAATTTGATCTAAAATCTTGTGTATCACCAATTAAGCTTGTTAATCATCCAACATCCACAATTCAGGGTTAGTCGGTCTTCTGGACTCTTGATATAAAAAAAAAAAAAATGTAATAAGTTGCCCTAAATCATAAGTTCATTGACCCTTGAAAAAATAGGTTTATCAACATGCCAACTTTCTTTACATTTTAAATATAAAATAAGCAACTTTATTATTGTATATATATGTAGCCTTGAGGAGTAATTATAATTATTTTTTTGTAAAACAATACAGTATTATTTTAGAAAAATTTTGTGACAAACTCATGGGTCAATTAGTCTTTTTTTATATTGTATGGAATATTTGATTAAATGCTTAATATTTTCACTTTTTACATCTTAGTATATTCAACCCTTAAAATTGCAAATATTATTTTATTTTTTTTTTTAATTTCTAAAAGATTACATATATTATATTTTATTTTAATTTTATTTTTCTTAAAAATAGAGTGGTAAACATGGTAGGGTTCCAAATTTCTATCAGGAAGAATTTATAGGGTACCTAGCTAATTAATAAGCTTCTTACGACCACTAGATGAAGGGCACATACAAAAATCATCAAAAGAGATTTTGTATCAATTAGTGCCAAATAGAATGATGAATAAGTACTAGTTATGTAATATATAGCAAACTTTCACTTTGTAGTTGTACACTTGTACATGACACAATTTCTTGTAATTAGTAATTAACCTTGCTTGCTTAATTTGTAAAAATGTTTCATGTTCGTTTCGCCTTCAAATCAAAATGATATCAAAGGGAAACCTTTGAATTAAGTAATATACGAAGCATATAAATAAACCATTTATACCTTGAATCAAAGCTTACATTTATACCCTATAATAACATCATGTAACTCCATTAATCATGACTTTGTATACTTTAATTTAAAGTAAACTTAATGTTCTCGATTACATTCATGAACAAATAATGGATCATTTTGTGTAGCCTCCACAAATGAGTATAGATATAAATGCTTAATTGCTACTTACTGATTGATAGCAACCTTGTTAATAGTATCTATAACAATAATATTGATAGCAACCATGTTAATAGTATTATCTACAACAATAATAATAATAGCAATAAATTAAAGTGTAAGCATCTTTATGATAGAACCAAACGCTATTGGATTTTGTAATCTACTTATATATGCCACATCTCGTCTTGATTCTCTTAGAATTGGCCAAGTTATAGTATTGAAAGTGATAGGACCTTATTTAGGAGTAATGATTAGGATGGTTATTGTTCATAAGTAAAATTATACAACCTAATAAGTGAGTGTACAATTATCATATTCTCCATATTATTCAAGGATATTTTACTACTTACCCAAGGTTAAGACAATAAGAAAGGTAAAGGATATGGGCCATATCTAAGATAATTATTAGCCATATCCAACGTGTTGATTATTCGTTTGTCTTCGCAACCTGTACAGTCTGTGAACGCATCTTTCTATAATCTCAATCCACCAAATTAATCATCGATCTCATGCTAGGGTTTGTTGTTGATTTTCTCTTTTCCTCTTACCAAACTATATATGTTTTCTTCAAACGTAATTTATAACTTATACTCTTATTTTATAGAAGTAATAATAATATCAGTTCAGTGAAAATTATATTCATGATTAAAAAAACAAGTTTTTTTTTTTTTTTTTTTTTTTTTTTGAGGTGTATGATCAGTAAGGGGGAGCAGGAGATCAATCTAGATTAGAGGAGCAGAAATGGAGACAACCCCACAAACACTTATAGTAATATTATTAATTTGCAGTATCATATCATACTATACCCCCCCCCCTCTCTTCTTCTTTCTTCCCCTCTCCTCAAATTTAATTTAATTTTTCAAAAAATAAATAAAAATAGTGCCCCATTAATTACACTTTTATTTTGTCTTTTAGCCTTGAATTCTCTCTCCTGCTGATTTCCCCTCCACTAAAAATGCTCTTTGCCTTCCTTCCATTCCTTTTTGTCATAAATTTATATCATCAATTTCTTCCTCATTCTCTGCAAATAATCTTCACTCTTATCTCACATTTTCTCTCTCCTTTTCATCCCTACTAATTAGGGTTTTTCATTTTTCTCCCCCCTCTTCTTAATATGATCACATCATAAACCTCAATCACTTCAATCTGGTACTTCTAGTGATCTACAACTTAACCAACGATAACAGTTTATTATCTTTTCTTAATATCAGGGGTACAACAAGAAAACTCTTTGGAAAATAAAGCCTTTAACACAAGGAAAGTGTAAAAAAAATATATAAAGGTACAGTTTTTTTTAGTTATTTCTTCATTTTTTTTTTCCTGGTTTATTATTTTTGGATCAGAAAAATAAACAGGAAAAATAATAAAGATATGCAGCAGCAGCAGCTTAAATAATGAAATTATTCTATATGATTGGTTTTTTAGGAAAAGTGTAAGAAACAAGCACCTACCCTTTTGAATATATAGCCTACTACATACTACTGCAGTTGATGTTGTCTTAGCTTCAAGACATCAAGTAGTCTGATCTAGTGTGTGTATATATATATAGCTTAGGTTATAACACATGAAAGTTATAACCTAAAGTTTTGAATTTTATGAAAGCTTTATATTATAAATATAATATAGAGTTGTATAGTAGTAGTATCTTGTTAGCTTAGGTTGTTGAAAGAGGAGAGGTGAGGTGAAAAAGTAAGGGAAAATTGAAAAAATAAAAAAGGACCAGATCCCATGAATCAGAAGAGTATGTATGTATGTACTGTTGTTAGTCTATTATAGCTGCTTATGATCATCATGATTATTGTCTTCATTTCTTTAGGATTTTTTCACATGGAGGAGTATATAAGAGAGAGAAACAGAAATTAGACAGAGAGAAAGAGAGAGAGACAATTTTTAAGAGAATTTTTGTTCCTGAATTTTGATTTGTCAAAAATCAATTTGCCAATACATTATGAGGTTGGTTGAGTTTTTTCTTCTTTTTTTTCAATTTTTTTGGTGTGTGTGTGTGTGTGTTTTTTTTTTTTTTTTTTTTGAAATTAAATGCAAAAAGGGTTTTTGTTTGATTTGGTTTTGTTATTAAATTGGGAAGTGTTATATAATCACAAGGGTGGTCTAATTCTTTTGTTTTGTATCTTCATTCAATGTGATCAACCAAAAATTATCAACAATTTTAGATTTCATTAATTAATTTGTGGGTTTTTTTAAAAGTTTTTTTTCTAGTATATATATCAGATTGGGAAATTATATTGAAACTAATTCCACCAAAGAAGTTTTTTTGCCATGTTACAATATTATCTAAACTTTATTTGGGGAAAAAAAAAAGACAACAAAATTATTTATTTTTTTTAAAAAAACATTGTATACTTGGGATAAACAAAGAATCGTCAAAAGTAAGAAACAAATCAAATATACTAATTTTATAATGATGAAAACCTCATTTTAATTATGAATTTATGATGTATGTAACTTTATTTTGTGAAGAAATTAAATCACGTTACAACATACTCTGAATAACTCTTTAGTTTAGGCTTAGCTAACCTAATTTCATTCAATCTAGATTCTTGATTCCTTTTAGCAATCACTAATAAAAGAATCTCATTACATTCATCTCTTTTAATGTCGTCTTCATGAAATTGGACTATTTCTTTTCATTTTGTGTTTTGTCTTTACATTCTATAATGTGACACAGAAGAAAACATACACTAAAATGGCATCATCAAGCTCCTACAACTCGCCGTGTGCAGCCTGCAAGTTCCTGCGTAGGAAATGCATGCCAGGGTGCATATTCGCGCCCTATTTCCCACCCGAAGAGCCACAAAAATTCGCCAACGTGCACAAAATCTTCGGTGCAAGCAACGTCACCAAACTCCTCAACGAGCTCCTCCCTCACCAGAGGGAGGACGCTGTCAACTCATTAGCCTACGAGGCTGAGGCGAGGGTCAGGGACCCCGTGTACGGGTGTGTAGGGGCCATATCTTACCTCCAACGCCAAGTTCAAAAGCTTCAAAAGGAGCTTGATGCAGCCAATGCGGATCTACTTCGTTACGCTTGTAACGATATCAACTCTACCACGGGCGCAATGCAGGGGATGGGGGGTATCCCTCCACCTCCTCCTCCTCCTCGGCCGCCTCTCGACCAGTTCGGCAGCTATTATCAGCCGTCTGACCTTAATTCACAGAATCACAGATGATGCAGCCTTACCCTTATTTACCATGGAATGACATGAATAATGTTCATCAAAGAGGAGGTGATGATGATCAAGGTAACATGTGATATTATTGATTTATAAAAAGGTTTCCTAGCTAATTAAGCTAATTAGAGATGGCATATATAATTAAGGTGAGAATTATATAACTCATCATATATATAGTATCTATTATTTGATATACGCTTCTCTTTAGCTAGGTTGTTACCCTTTTATAATTTGAACTTCTACTTTTTAGTTGGAGTCATTGGATTTCCAATTTATTTTTTTGTGGGTGTTATCATATTTTTGGGGCATATATATATATATATATATATATATATATATATATATATATATATATATATATATATATATATATGAAATAATTCAACTATTTATTAATTGTAATCCTTCAATTGTGATGTTTTAATTGTGTTGTTATGCAATATATGGTCTAAATGAATCTTGGCTATGAAATTGTGTTGTGTTATACGCTTGAGAAACTTCAAATTGGTGATATTTGTGTTAATTTTGTGAAAAAAAAAAAACCGAAATACCCCCTTATGATTCTCCAAAATCTCCAAAACACCCTCTTATAAGTCCCCAAACTAAGGCTCCCAAAACATCTCAAGGATATTCATCTTCAACATATCGATCACGGTTTAAAATTTGGTGTATACGCTTCAATTATCATAAAATTCTCTCTTTGTTTTCGATTTGGTCTATATAGCTTGACTCCATGATTTAGTTGCATTCAAGAGGCCGATTAGATATTAGTTTTGAAGTTTGAAGGTGTCAACTTTAATCAATACATTGATTTAGGCCTAACTAAATTTGGGGGGTTCAATTCATGGTGTGCTAAATTTAGGCCTAGTTGCATGCTTTGCTTTTGTACTCCTTCCTACAAGTGATTAGTATGAAGCTTAAAATTTAATCCTATCATTAAGCTGGTTTTTCGAGAAAAGGTCAAACTTTGATTATTTGATGCTTAGTCTAAGGTAAACCAAGGTTGTCATCTATGATCTCTATCTGTTTCAGCTTTAAGTTAACATGCTTTCAGATGACTTCCATGAGGAGGTATGATGATTGTAGACCTCTAGTTGGGTGATTTTGAGCCATGTTATTCATAGATTTTCTTATAAGTTAGAATAAAAAAAGACCCGTTAATGAAACTAAGGATAGGTTAAGATTCTTGATAAACTGATGTTTATGTGCTAGCTCCACATTTTTGTTGATTTGAGTTGAGATCATATGTCCCATATGTAGTTTTGATCCATCAATATATAGGTTAGGTTAGATAAGTTGTAAAGTTAATTATCGATGGACTCGGGTGATGTGATAAAATAATTAACGTTGGGACATGAATTGAATGGAATAGACCAACTTGTAAATTTGGCTATTCCCGAGTCATTGAATGATATTTTTGAAAGAAAAACCCAAAGTAGAGTCTTGAGTCCACTCTCGGATACAGGTTTAGAGTTCTTAATTGAAAAATGTGTGTTTGTGTGTGTTAAGGGCTATAAGTTGCACTAGACTGTCTTATTTAATAAGCTAATAATAGTATATAGCTCATTTCATTTATAAGCTAAAGGGAAATAAAGAATTCATACGCGTGCAAGTAGAGCTCCTTACTTGTCACCGTTTAACGGATTAAGTAAACACAAGATAAGAGTATATATTTATGCTAGTTAGTGAATTATTAAAGGAGGATTCCCTAGCTAGAAGCTCAGGTCTAAGCCTTAATTATATTCCTTTTACACATATTTAGCTAATTATATTCTCACTTTGTTGGTGCTTTGTTTCTTAATTTGAAGGACCACATCTTTGCTTAATATTTCTTCTAGATCATTAACTTGTTTAAGTTGATGGTTTATTTCCAAAGTTCGAAAAGTTAAATGCTTATGGCCGGTCCTGAAGCATCTAAACTTACTAATTATGGAAACAGAATAAGCTAAAGGGTTTTGATAAAATTAATTATCGATCACACTCTTTCTCGTCAGAGTTGATCAACTTGTGCACCGATTTACATTTCTTCTATCTTTATAGGGTATCGCTAGCCATCAACTAAAGTATAGCTCTAGATATATGCTATATTACATTACATAATTCTCAGCATATATAGCTATGTCTCTTCATAAGGTAGCTTGCCTCCACCAAACAAACACCACTGAAGTTTAAAAAGTGTCATATATATTCTGTCAAAAAGTATCAAGTTCTTAGTTTTTACCCACAGTTTATGGTTTTAACCAGCAGTTAAAAGAGTGGTATATGACTATATTTGTACATACATGCATATTTATAACTTAGATAAACTTGTAGAAAAATAAATGAATATGGCATAAGAATGAAGCAGGAATGTACATGAAGTATATATTGTTGTAATGTCATTTTCTTTGAGTGTGGTGGTGCACAATCAAAGTACTCAAATTAAACTGTTTTCTTCTTTTACATTTCCTTTCTCTTCATGATTTAGGCTCTGGATTCCTCAACATACTCATGCATATTCTGCTCCTTTCCTGTTCAAATATGAATGCTGTATTATTGAATAAAAATTCATGATGAATTTTCATTAAATAGCTTTAAATTCTTCTTCTTTATTTTAGGGTAAAATTTCAAATTGGTCACTCTTACCATAATTTTAGCTTTATATATCATAGATATCCTATAATTTTATCTAAGTGCTAGCATAGTGCCCGTGCGATGCACGGTTTATAAATCAAATTATTAATTCCGTAGGAAAGATATAAAGATAATTCAATTAGTAATAAAAGGCTAATTTACTAATGGTCGATACAAAAGTAATGGATTGTAATTTAAATAGTATTTTATGTTATTTGCATTTCTTTTAATTTTTATAATGTTATTTTATTAATTGAAAAATAAATGGATAATGCTCCACATAACTATACAAGAGAAGTAGACTAATTTATTTTCTAACTCCGTAGGGAAAAAAACTAAAATTTTCTTGTCATATCATTCGCTTTACCAACTATAATCTAATACATGTTTTACCCGTCGCATTCACCAAATCTATAGACACGATAATAACCATATATTTGACCCAACATTATTGTATATGATATATGGAGTAATATTTATAGTTAGGAATTAATAGATATGGAAAATATTTTAATTTAGATTTGGGAAATATGTGAATAAGAAATATCATAATTATATGATTTGGTGAATATTGTATATAATTTATAATAGGTAGTTGATGGTATTGACAAAAATAAAATAAAAAAAAAGATTAAAAAAGGGGGGGAGGAGGGGGAGTTTTGGAGGCAAAATACAACACCAGGAAGTGACATGTGTCATTCCTGATGTCTGATTTATTATTATGTTATTGATTACAATAAGTTTTTAGTTTGAAGTTACGAAAATATTACCTTCAATTTATTTAATTTGATCTCTTTACTTTAATACTAAATGCTTTTTTAACTTTAGGAAAGAAGAAAGTTGAATTGCCTTAAATTAGAATAATAATCTTTCTAATTATAAGGAGTAGTCCTTTTTAAATTTTGAGCTCAATTTTGAATAAATTGATCTTTTTGTTTTAGTTCACATTTTCAATATAAAATAACTTTTTTTAGTATTAATTGTTAACGTCACCAATAGGGCGCGCTGTACAAAGTGCGCTTTAGACCGCACCAAATGGCAATTTTGCGGTTTGGTGGGTTTACGGTTTGAAAATTGCGGTGTGGTTTTTTAAAATGACCAAACCACGGTTTGCGGTTTGATGCGCTTTCAAAAAATATAAAAGAACTAAAATATATGAGCTAATCTTTGACTATTGGTTAACTAAAGGTTAAAAACAAAAAATTAATATTTGAATTATAAATTAATAATTACAAAATAAAATAAAAGTTTGTTTTAAAAAGAATAATTATAATTTTAAAAAAGTATGGTTAAACCACAAACGGCTCCGCACCAAACCGCATTTTGCGTGCGGTTTGGTGCTTTTTTTAAGAACTGCGGTTTGAAAAAATTACAAACCGCATCGTGAACACCCCTAGTCACCAAGTTTAGTAACATAATTAATACTCCCTCCGTTTCATAATGTTAGTCTCATATGCTATTTTGAGTGTTTCAAAAAAATCTACCCATATTGAATATGTTCTATTTTTAACGTAATTTTTTTTGGAATTAATTGGTTGTGGATTAATGACATGGCTCTAAGTAAGAAAATCTCTACCTTGAATTATGCATCATGACTTATGCTTTCTCTAAAAAAAATCAAAAAACTTAAATAAGGTAAACTAATTATGAATTATTTTATACTTTAATGTTAGATTCCAAATATTCCTCTTTTTTTATTTTATATGATAGATTCCGTATGGGATAACATTATGAAACGGAAGGAGTAAAAAAAATAAAAAAAAAATAAAAAATAATGTAAATTGAATGCAATGCAATAGAGGTATAAAGTACTTCATATAATTTTAACAAAGATTGTCACAATAAATGAACAATAATACTTCGTATATATGTTTCATTTTAATTATGTTGATATGTTCCATGTATACATTATGTCATTATATATGCCATATGTAATATACTATAGATATTTATGCTTTAAAATCCTAAAATTACTTTTTAGATTTAATTTTCACCAATAGCATATACGAAGTACATTTTATAATTCTAAGAGTAATGTTTATTTCTCAAATATTTGGACTACATATGAGTGGCTATGCATGCAATTTCTATTACTTCTTATCATTTTAATTAAAAGTCATTTTGGAGATCAAGTGAAACAATTACTCCAACTTATTTCACCCTCTCACTTAAGGATTAAAGTTAACTCCAAATCACGTACTATTAGACAAATATACATTTTCTTCTTTCTTTCCTTCAATATTTGCTATAAAACATAAAGATTGGACATTTTATGAAAATTTTAAGTTAAAGAAAGCTTAGTGTTTGAATAGGTTTAAATAAGTTCACATACATGAAAAGATAAAATTTCATCATAGTACGTGTATTGCTTCTTTTTATTTAAAGATTAAATTATTTACTTATAAGTATATGGATTAAAGTAATTAGCATAAATATTTGAAACCCTACCAACAATATAAGTATGAATTTAATAATATTTCTTCAAAATCTCTTTTTTAACTAGAAATAAGAAATCAATAAAATATGAAATTTAAAAGCATTATTGTGATCTCTTAGATATGATCTTGATCTCAACCGTCCTCATAAAAAAAATAAAAAATAAAAAAAATAAAAAAAAACTTTTTTTTCTTCCCAAATGAATATATAAAGGGCCCACCTCTTGATGAATTTAATCTTAAACAGTGGT